CCTCTCACAGCACGGTCTCTGGGTGAGAGACCTTGATCACTCACCTCCTCCGGGAAGCCTTCTGGGCTTAGCCCCATCTAGCACAGGGCTCCCTCTGGGCTGGAACCTTCCAGTCAGGAAGGCCCTTTTGTTGGGTCTCTTAGCCAAGTGCCGCCACCCTTGCTAACCCAGCCACACCGCACACTCCTCCAGATCCTTTGTAACAAATTTGCGGTGCTGGAGCTTGAAGCTTTGTCAGTGAGCTATGACCCCCAGCCCGCCTCATGAGATTTAAAACATCAAGCTCCCCCCTCAAGCTCCTCCCTCCTTGGCACCCTCAGCCTCCTTACCGGAGGTGTCAGGAGTCTGGGGGACAGTGGATGGACTCTGGAGTCCAAGCACTCACACTTATTTGCAAGAAGTCAAGAGAGTGTTTTGTTTGTTTTGCAGTTTGGGGGAGGGAGCCCAGGGCCCTGGGCTTGCTGGGCAAGACCTACCAGCAGAGCTTTTGGGGTTGTTTGTTTGTTTGTGTTTGTTTGTTTGTTTTGAGACAGGGTTTCACTCTGTACCCCACACTGGCCTAAAACTCACTAATGAAGCCCAGGCTGGTCTCTAACTCTTAGCAATCCTCCTGGGTCTGCCTTCCAAGCGCTGGCATTACATGCACAGGGCATCACCCCCCAGCACCAACCCAAAGATGTCTTAACCCCAACTCTATCACCTACTGCTGGGTGACCCTTGACCTCAGTTCTCTGTGCCTCAAGTTCTTCCCTTGTAAAATGGGGGTAAAAGTGGCTGCCACCTCCTCGGGTTTGAGGACCAGATATGCGGGACACTTACAGCAGTGAGGGACTGTGTTCAGGAGCCCTTTAAAGACACTCTTCAGAATGGCAGGCCCAGAGGGTTGCTGAGCTGGGGTGGGGGGCAGCTACAAATTAGTGGTGGCCGTAAGAATCCCTCTTTGTGCCCTCCTGTCCCCAGGGTCACAGGGGACACTTCCCAAGCACATGGGGATGGACATGGTAGCCTGGTGTCTGCAGACTTTGCCTCTCCTTGTCCCTCGCTCTCCCTGGGGAATGAAGGGGCAAATCGGGAAGGGACTGGGGCCACCCAGCTCCAGTATGCCTTGCTGGTGTCAGACAGGGAGGGGGTCACAAGAGACCCCCTTCGGGGAGGGGACAGGGGAAGACTTTAACACCATCATCTGCTCCACACCACACCAGTTTCCTTCCTCCGTCAGCTTCTTTGGGGGGCCAAATTTGGGCTCCTTATTTTCTGTTTGCAGTGAGATGGGGCCCAGGCACCCAGAGGCTCCTCTCACAGCACGTGTGGATGCCTCGAGTACAACACCCAGTCAGAGTTTATTCCCCGTCAAAGAGGCTTTAGGAGCTGAAACTGGATCCCAGCAGGTTCCCTGCTCCAGGCCAGGCATCACTTGTGACCACTCACTTGTCCTCAACACACAGTGTGAAGTCACCTTTGTGAGGACACCCCAGCTTCCCTCCTAAGTCCCTAGAACAGATGAAGGTTCTTCCTCCTCCTGATGGCCCTAACTGTGAGTGCCCATCTTCCAGCCTGTCCTCCCAGCTCTGAGGACTGAGAAGGAGGCCTTGCTCATCTTTGTTCCCAGGCCCAGCACACAGCCCAGCTCCTGACAAGGCAGCGTTTTGGTGGCTTTGCAGCAGATGTCTGTGTGGTTAAGGAATGCTGACCTGCTGTGCTACTGGCCTCCCACATCTACACACAGTCGACCCCAAACCATTCCCTCGGTATCCCCTCTGCCCAAGCTGAGCTGTCTCCTTGGCTCCTGCCAATTTGCACCTGGAGGGAGCCAGGTATTCCCATATCCACACTAGGCACACCAAGGAACAAGCCAACGCCTAGCTCCACATCCGCTCCCACAGCTGTTGGTTACTGCGTTCATGTGGTAATGACTTCTGCAGGGACAGTTCACACATCAGACTCAGAGCCTGCCACCCCAGGTCTAGGAGGGATTCCCCGAAGAAAGGTGGAGGATGGGGTGGGTGTGTTCTTTCTAGTCACCCAGGAATGGAGAGGAATCTCACGGGTTTATTGCAACGTGTAACACAGCATGCAGCCCCAGCCTAGGCCAAAGCACCCCCTGCCCCGCAACAACCAAGAGAACACACGCCAGTCCAGTTTGCTCCCTCTGCCTTGGAGAACAAAGGGCTTGCCTCACCCTGATGTCCTGAAATACATACAGCACATGTCCTGTCCCATCTGTCTCACCCGTAGGCACCCAAAGGCACTATGGACATGCCTGCGGGCACATCTGCCAACGAGGCCAGCCAGCTGGTGTGCCAGGCATGTGCATGCACACCCACACATTCAGATGCTCCAGGCACTCTGACCCTGCGCAGACCGTCTGTTTCTCTGACCTGCATTTGCTCCTCTACATGTTTGACACACACGCCTTGGACTGGGCTCCCAGGCAGAGGAGACCCTGACCCAGCTGCCTGGTGTCATGTCCCAGCTCGACCATTTAGCGGCTCCAGCCGGAAAGCCTGCTCATTTGTTTAGGTCACTACTTGAGGCTCCTTCCCCAACTTGTAAGTCAAGGCTGCCAGCGTGTAGTATTGCCATGAGGACCATTCACGGAAGTCCGCGAGTGTGTCTTCCGGTGTCCCGTGCTGGCTGCCGTCTGTCATTTCCCTCATTGTCCTCCCTGCTCTGGTCCCCACGAGCTCCCAGATGCAATGATGTGTGCACATCTGTCCACACCCGCAAACAATGCACACTCAAGATCAGTGGGTTCAGACAAGCACACACGTAATTGTAGAATGTCAAGCCACCTCAATTCTGCACAGTATGGGGAAACCGAGGCTGGCAAACACCTCCTCCTCTTCCCCCCCCCCCCCCCCCCCCCCCCCCCCCGTTACCCCACAGACACAACTCCCTTCCCTGTCCATGTTATACACCAGGACTGCACAATAGGCCTGTCCCCGGTCCTGAAGGAGTTCCCAGCATGACACCTAGGATGTACAAAGTATCCGCAGGAGAGCGCAACCTGAGAGGAAGCTTGGCTCTCTTGGTCTGAGGCCCGGAAGGAGACAGTGGCCAGCCCCCAGGGACCAGAAGGAACAACAGAAAAGAGAGCTGACTTTATCATGTTTTCCTCCCCTCCAGCACCGCGATCTACACCCTTGCCCCAACTCCGAGTTTCCTGGGAGCCCGGTCCCCTTGCCTGTCCCTTTGGTATCTCCGCCACCTGGCAGATAACAAATGTTCTGAGGTGCTGATTAGGAGGAACAGGGAGTGAGAAATCCTGAGAACATCTTGTTTGCCCCCACCTTCCCCAGAGCCATTTGTGGGAACATTGGTCGTGGCCTAATCATACCAGCCCGCATACTGCCAGAGGGAAGCCCGCACATCAGGCAGCTGGGGTCTCACTACTATTTCCAAGTACAAGGCAAAGCCAGGTGTTCTCCAGAGTGTGAACCAGAGCATCACTTCTAGAAAGGCTCTCCTGACATGAACAAGGCCCAATGCACTCTTCCCCAGAGCTGCCCTCTCCGAGGCACCCATGCCATCCCAGGCTAGACCTCCCAACCCGAGTGCATGGCAGAGCTGGTTCCTAGGCTGTACCTAGGCACCACGCAAAGCTCCAACACAAGCCCACCAAGTGGAACAAGCCGCAGGCCCTGAGACTGTGTAAGAGATGATGTTTACTTCTCAGTCAGAGGTCAGCACAGTGGCTACAAACCTATTCTGACAGGGTTGTCCTTAACAGGAAACATGGCACACACACTCTCTCACACACATCGCCGTTGCCACCATGAGATACGCTTCAGATCCTCAGACCAGCATTTCCAAATCCTTTACCCTCCCACCCTGCTTCTCCGGCCTGCTCATCTGAACCAGGTAGAGTTGTGCGGCCCTGTAACCTCACATGCTCTGAAGGCTGTTAAAAGGACTGGAAACCAACCGGCCTGGGCCACACCGTGGGACCCTGTCTCAAAATACCAGGAAGGGGGGGGCGGGGAGACACTGAAGCCAGACAGGGCTCCCAACATGCCTGTGAACTCACTATGCAGCTTAGGATGAGCTTGACCTGCCAATCTTCCTGCCCCTGCCTCCCAAGTACTGGCATTACAGGAGTGTGCACCAACACTCGAGTTTTATGTGGCACTGGGAATCGAACCCAGGGCTTTGTCCATGCTTTCCTCTCCGGAGTCTTTCCTGGCTGCCATCAGTCATAGCCCATCCTGATTTTGCTCACCTCTCTCCCTATTCCTTCTCCCACATTCTGGTTCCTCTGGTCAGGATTAAGGACTCCCTTTTCTCCCGCTCCTCCATGTGTGAGCATTTCCCAGCTCTGGGACCCCCCACCCTGCATGTGGGTGACAGCACCCACTCCAGGGTTCCTATGAGTTCAGGTGAGATCTCTCTCCTGAGCAACGGATAGCACAGCATGGTCATCCTTCAGACATCAAGAGGTCACTGTGCCCAATCTGAACCCACACACACACCCTCAAAGTCACTCAGCACTGTTACCATCAGAAACCCGGGCATCCAGTAAGATATTGTCACCCCCAACCTACCCTCCATCATAGCCTTTCTGTTCTCCATCCATCCACCTTGCCCCATGTCACAGTCTACACAGGCCACCAGGGTACTCCTGCCACTGAGGACACGTGGCCTTCCTGCTTCTAACTTCTTACCCTTTCAATTAATTTTCTACAAAGCAGCCCAAGGGATCGCTCAAAAGCCTCAAAGCCACCATAGTGCCACACTATGTGAAAGTCTTCAATGGGCTACCACGCCTTCAGGGTCAGTCCCATCCCTTCAGTGTGGTGCCAAAGCTTCCGTGACAGCCTCAGGACCCGCTTCACACCCTCACGGTACTGTGCTGACGACGGCCACCGCAAGGCCTCTGTAGGCTGTCCCTGGGGCCCAGGGGGCCTTTATCCTGCTTTGTGACTTAGCTGTACTCCTCACAATGCAAGACTTATCCCACAACCTAGGCCTGTCTGTCTCCACACATGGTGTGGACCCTTCATACCTGGCTGTCTCCACCATGGCCCTGTCACCGCCGGGTTCCTAGGCCGGGGGGGGGGGGCCACAATGGGGCACACAAGGCCTGCCTGCAGAACTCTGGGGGTCTCAGGATAGGGAAGTCATACACAAGTCCAGTCTTACCTGTCTCTGAGGGCCTGTGGGGTCCGACTCTCTCCGTCGAGGGCGGGGTCCCGAGTGCAGGGGTGAGTGGGAAAGGCTGCCAGGCGTGGGTGGCTGTGATGTCTCTGATCGGCCATCAGCCTGGCTCAGCTGAGGTGGTGCCGGCTGGGGCAGCATCTGCCGCAGGTCCTCCTCCGCCAGCGTCTGCATGCCACGCCCTCGGGGCCTGACAGCGGGCTCCGTCCCCAGACGCCTCCTTTCCTCGCCCTCCTCAGGCAAAGGCCGCAGCTCCTCAGGCTCCTCGTCCGTGGTGCCCGACGTGCTGGGCTCGGCCCCGGGAGGGAAGTCCTTCAGCTCCGTCTCCTTGTCAATAATGACCCACTCCTTGCTGTCAAAGTCTTCCTCCTCGGCCAGCGGCACCGAGCGGAAGGCGTTGCTCAGGGCCTCCTGCTCCACAGAGGCTGACACGTCCATCCGGCCGCTAGCTTGCCGGTCAGCATGGCCTGTGTCCACGGACAGCATCTGAGCTGGCTGTGAGGAGCAGGCCTGTCGTGAGGGTGAGCCAGGCAAATCCATCCGCGACCTGCAAGAGCCACCCGAATGGAGCTCAGTGCTGGGGACATCAAGCCAGGGGCAGGGTAGGATGTGACTCCTGCAACATGGCTTTCTAAGAAACACTTCCGTTATCCGTCCACCTACCATGCATTCATTCCGCAAGTATTCCTTGATGCTTACCATATCCCAGGCACACGAGCATGCAGAAAATGAGTCCATCCCTCTCCTCCGGGCTACTCCAGGGAAGCTAGTCTTTCCAACACTCAGCAGGCACTTACGTTCCATCTGTGGCTCCCTCCCGCTGCATCCAGGGCAAATGCACCAGCTGGCTCTTGAGTTTACAGATGGCTTCCAGCTCTACCACTGCACCCTCCGGTCCTGCCCAGCTGGTGCTTTTAACCCCAGGTAGGCTGGGCCTCGCAGTCCCCAGCTGCAAGTCGCAGTCTGAATTCCTTAGCCTGTCCCCAGGGCGCCTCCTTCCCTAACCAGGTCTATCTCAGATCACCCACTTTTCCTTAACGGTCCACCCTCACCCCCACAGCCAGTGCCTCCATCCTCTGCTCTCCGACCCTACTCTGAAGCACTTCCTGGAGTGAACCCTCCCCTTCCTGCATGGACAGTTACTTGCCCTCACAAGGCACCCCAAGCCCCCACCACACCATGGACCTCAGATCTACTGGCGTATCTGTCTTCCTTACAGATAGACTGTGACCTTTGCCTGGCAGGGCCTGGGTTCCTCTAACCTTTGACCTCAGGGCACGGATCCTGCCTGGGACATCTTCCGTCCTCACCTTGAACTATGCCTCTGACTCCCACCCAACACCCAGAACATGTTTGGCATGGTGCCAACCCCACAGGGAGGGTGCGTCTCATACCGTATGGTTGTGTGTGTGGTAAAGGAAGAAGCTACATGTGGAGGATGTGTTGGCTCCTGGCCCCCAGATCGCCAGGAAAACCAGGCCTAACTCCTCTGGGATCTGGGCTCCGGGCAGGGGCTCCCTGGCGTTCAGTGACTCAGCCACAGAGGGAAGATGTGCGGAGCGGATTCCCGTTAGCGCTTCTAAAAGACCCCGTCCAGCCTGCGCGGGCACCGCCCGATCCCACTCTACACCGTATTTGTATCGATTTGTTAGTAAGGCTTAAAATAAAACACCATTGATGGAGGACGCCCTGGGAGACGGAGGCCGCCCCAGGACTTCCTGCAAATGGCTGCTCACATTCTTTTCCTGAGAGCAGTTCGTTCTGAGGGACATGAAGGACAGAAGGTGACGAAATGGAAGGTGAGCTGTGTGTGCGCATCCCTGAGTGTATGAGGACGAGAGAGAGACAGAGAGACAGACAGAGACAGAGACAGAGAGACAGAGAGAGAGAGACAGAGAGACAGAGAGAGACAGAGAGACAGAGACAGAGACAGAGAGAGACAGAGAGACAGAGACAGAGAGACAGAGAGACAGAGACAGAGAGACAGAGACCCCAAGTGCCACCAAGCCATCCTGCCCCTCCCCTGCCTGTGACATCCCGAACCTTCTGTAACAGACACTCTCTTCAGCCTGCCCCTTCCTGCTTCCTGTGACCCGAACCGACTTGCTCAAAGTTCCTTCTGAGCGGGCAGCTCTTCAAAACTGTCTTGCTCGGGACACTTGCCCCTCTCGTCTCCACACATACCCCTTCCTTACTTCTCCGTGTCCAGAACGCTCTCTACCAAGGGACTCCATGCTGCCATGGGTGGAGAAGAGGTGTCTGGCGCCCGGCAGGACAGCCCAGGTGAGTGAGTGAGCTCTGTCACACACCCAGGGACCCAGCCCGGTCTGTGGTCTGTCTGGCCCCCAGACTGGCACTGTGTTCAATCTGGAAGGTCAGGACAGTTAGGGCAGGGTCCGGGGGAAGGGCCATGGCTGATGAAGGTCGTTAGGAAAGATACTGAGTGGGTATCAGAAAGGACGCCCTCTTCCTGCGTGGCCCAGAGGGCCTTTTCCCTTTCCTAGTGCACAGAAGGCCCTGGTCTACTATGGAGCAAAGGAAAACTCGTGACATTTCATCCTCCAGATGCCCCCCACCTGGTGACCCACCCACTCAGGTGGTGACTTTGCTGACCCCTGCCAGCTACACCCCACCCACGGCCGACTTTACCCTCCCCCCACTTCCCAAAGGCCAATTCCCTCAGCGCCGCCCCCCAACCTTTCCCTCATTAACCAGGTTCCTGCTGGGTCCCCCTGCTCTCAATTCATACCCCTTAAACCCCCAAAACTTGACCCACCCCGCCACCAGCAGCCCCTTAGCGCCCTTCCTCGGCTCTCTGCCTGCAGCCCAAAGGAAGTTCGTCTCTGCTGCTCTCCAGGCATCTGGGAATCGTGGTCTAGGAAAAAGTCGTCTAGAACCGAGGCCTGGGCCCAGAAACCGGCCTGCCCCACTCTTTCCTCTCTGGATACCCCACCACAGGCCACCGACTGACCCCAGGCCAAGCGCACCCCAGCATGCTCTCTAGGGTTCCTCAACTCCTGCCTCATATATGAACTTTCGCAGACCAGCCACGCTGATGAAGGCGTTCGGGACCAGAGGGCCCTCGTCACCCCGAACCCCGTCTACAGACTCACCTCCTCTCATGCAGCTCTACCCGCCCATCAGCTGCTGTAGACAGCCTCTCCGACTCCGGGCTGTTGACCCTTCGGTAGCGTAGAGACCGTACTGGAGTTGTTGGGGAGTCTGGGGGGGCACGCACTGGGGAGCTGGGGACCCCTACTCCCCGACTCTGCTCTTCCTCCACACAGGGGGTCTGTAGGAGAGGAGACGCTGTGAGTTGGGGTTGACAAGCCGGTGAGAGGTTTTCTCAGGGGAAAAGAGACCTGAGGCGGGTGGTGGTGGTGGTGGTGGACTGGGAGGACGGGGTCAAGGGCTGGGAACCCAGATGGGGAAGGCCGCCCACGCCCTTCTGCCTGGGTGCAATTACTTTGCCGATGTTGATGCGCAGCTTGTTACGGTTGACATCTGTCTCCTCCCACACTTCAGCCTCGGGACCCCCAGGGTGGGGCACAAGGTGGGGGCCAGGGCCCAAGCCCTCCGGAGGCCTCCCAGGCAGGATCGGGGGTGCATTCTCCTGGTCACTCAGGTGCTCGCCCTGTAGCACATCCTCGGTGTTCTCACGAAGCAGGTCCCCGGGCACTGGCGTCACATTGACCACTCTGGAGAAGCCAGGGAGAGTCGTGGGTAAGGCTGGCAGGGATGCCCTTCTCTCTTTTCTCCTTTACTCTCTGCCAGCACAGGCCCTGGGGACCCTCCAGAGTGGACACTCCATTGCCATCCCTGACCCACAAGGCCTCTGAGACCTGATCATCCTCAAATTGGCAGGGGCTGCAAGGAAATGTGCCCCGCAGGGACTAGAACCTGTCCACCCTTGCTGCAGCCACGGTCAGGGTCTGGCTCCCTTCAGACCCCGGAACAAGTCTGTGAAGAGCCCTTTACACTCCTTATCCAGAGACCTTTTAAAAAGAGATGTAGTTACTTTATGTGTAAGAGTGTTTTGCCTGCATGTATGTATGTGCACTGCGTGTGTGCAGTGCCTGCGAAAGCCAGAAGAGGGCGCTGGATCCCCTGCTCTGGAGTTACAGACAACTGTGAGCCACCATGTGGGTGCTGGGAATCAAACCCAGGTCCTCTGCAGGAACAGCCAGTGTTCTTAACTGCTGAGCCATCTCTCTAGCTCCACGTGTTAGCTCCTTAATACACTTTGTTTACTTTCTTTCTGTTTTTGTTTAGTTTTAACTTTGTGAGTGTGTGTACACAAGTGTATATGACACAGTCTGCACGTGGAGTCGGATGACAGCCTTAGCTGTTGGCTCTGCCTCCATCTTGAGACACAATCGTGATGTGTGTGCTTGTGTGTCTGTGTGTGTGTGTGTCTGTCTGTGTGTGTGTGTGTCTGTGTGTCTGTGTGTGCCTGTGTGTGTGTCTGTGTGTCTGTGTGTGTGTGTCTGTGTCTGTGTGTGTGTGTCTGTGTGTGTGTGTCTGTGTGTGCGTGTGTGTCTGCATGCATGTATGTGGAGGCCAGAGGTTGGTGTGGAAATGTCTTCCTCTATGGTTCTTCACTTTGTTTTTTTGTTTTTGTTCTTATTTATTTACTTATTTATTTATTTATTTATTTATTTATTTATTTATTTATTTATTTATTTATTTATTTATTTATTGGTTCTTTTCGAGACAGGGTTTCTCTGTGTAGCTTTGGAGCCTGTCCTGGATCTCGCTCTGTAGACGAGGCTGGCCTCGAACTCACAGAGATCGACCTGGCTCTGCCTCCCAAGTGCTGGGATTAAAGGCGTGCACCACCACCACCCTGCATTTGTTTGTTTTATTTTTTGAGACAGGGTCTTACTATGTAGTCCTGGCTGATCTGGAACTTGCTATGTAGACCAGGCTGGTCTCAGATTCCCAGAGATCTGCCTGCCTCTGCCTCCTGAGCGCTGAGATCACACCTAGCCCTCACCCTGTTTTTCGAGATAAGGTCTCTCAGTGAACCTGGAACTTCTATTTCAGCTAGACTGACTGGCCAGCTAGCCCCCAGGATCCACTGAGGTAAGGTTCTCTTGTGCATCAGGCTGGCTGGGCTGCAAGCTTCCCGGGGGCTTTCTGGCCCTGCCTCCCATCTCACCATAGGGACACACGGAATACAGGGACGCAATACTGTGTCCCCCTTATATGGGTTCTGGGAACCCTAATGCAGGTCCTCATGATTGGGCTGAGAGTGCTTTATCCACTGAGCCACATTTCCCAGGCTCCTCTCTGTTTTCAAAACAAGGTCTCCCTGTGTAGTCCAGGCTAGTCTCAAACTCATAATCCTCCTGCCTCATCCTTCCAAAAATGCTGGAAGTAGGTATGTACCATCATACCCCACTTCCTCGAGCAGCCTCAGCACAGAATTGGGCCATCGTGGTGTGCCAGCAATTTCTATGACATCTCCCTCCCAAAGGTGGCCCTGGGTTAGGTGATGTGATGGCTATTCTTGGTTATCAACTTGACTACATCTGCATTTAACTAAAACCCAAATGGCAGGGCATACTTGTGAGGGAGTTTTCTTAATTAAATCAAATCATTTAAAGTGGGAAGATCCATTTCTAATCTGGATCTTTAAAGTGGAAAGCTACACCTTTAATCCAGATCTTTCAAAATCTGAAGACCCACTTTTAATGTGGGCACGCCTTCTGCTGGCAGCCTACATACAGGACACGGAAGAAGGCAGCTTGCTCTCTTTGCTGCTTGCTCTGGCTCTCCCTGGCAAGTCCATTCCTTCACTGGCCTTAGAGCCTACTTCTTCAGGATCCTGATGTATACTGAAGACCAGCTGAGGCATTCAGCCTCAAGGGCTGAACAACTACCAATTCTTGGACCTTCCATTGATAGACAGCCATTGTTGGACTAGCGGATCACAGCCTATAAATTATTCTAATAAATACATTCATTCTATCAGTTCTGGTCCCCTAGAGAATCCTGGCTAGTAGAGGTGGGAACACTTCTTAGTCAGGAGCCTCCCCAGGTACCCTTTCACATGCCCCACATGGTTTGGAAACTATTTCCCCAAATCAGCTGAGGCCCTGTAAAGACAGGCACCAATGTCTCCCTGAGCCCCTGCGGCGTGGATGATGTAAGACAGACATGTTCGTTATTTACAGTGAGAAAGGCAGACTGTGGGGTTCAAGTTGATTCACCAGGATTTTTCCTTAGTCAAAAGCCCTAAATGAAGAAGGTACCCACTCCATGCTTAGATTCAAGGTAGACTGTGATAGGACAGCCAAGCATCCAGCATGAAGATACAACTAGGGGGGTCCAAGAAGGATGAGAGGGCTGGCTTCTGGGGTGACGGCTCCAGGTGAGGGTCACTGACCACCCCACTCACCCTGATGCCCCCACTCAGACTCACCCGAACATGGCTGCCGTCTGCCGGGTGTTCTGCTGGGGTGGGGTGGAGGTGCTTGTGGACAGGAGGGCATCGGTGCCCGCCTTCTCCCAGTCAAAGGCCTCGTTCTCAGCAATGCCCCGCTCCTTCATGCTGTTCTCAAACACCGACATGATCAACTGCAGGAAGACAGAGGGGTGACCCCAGGCCCGGCCAGGCGGAAGGGGCAATAGCCGGGATTGCAGCGAGGGAAATGGGGGCCAGGGATGGGCCGAGAGGGGGCACTGGAAGGACAAGTGCTCTTTAAATGAAAACACAGCACAAAGCAGTGTGCAAATTCCCCTCTTGGATTAAGCCCCACCAGATGGGTGCTAGTCCTCCGAGACCTGTCCTTTGAGGACAGTCTCCAGACTCTGCTGCCATCTGAACAGGCACATCAGTGGCCCTGAACCCCTGGGTTCCCTCATGGTCTTAGGACTCTGCAGGCTACTGCCTCTGATGGGTGCCTCTCTCACATCCTCTCCTGGCACCTGACACACTCCCATACAGTTCCCCTCTCACACTGGGCACAGAGCATCCATTTTTCATCACTTCTCACATGCTTCGCTGCCAATTCTACACCTCTAGCGGTCATCACAGGGCTCAATAGGTAGGTGTTCATAACTGTGTGGACCAAGGGACTCAATGAGGCTGAGCCAGGACAAGGAGTCGGGGGTCAGCCCCACCAGCAGCTGGGATGTCGGGTTCAAGAGGTAGCAGGGTGGCTTCAAGACCTCTGAGAAGCCCAAGCCATTCAGCGTTGGGCTGGCGCTCTTCAGAGCCCGGGGAAGGCACTCTGATGACAGGGCCCTTGCTTCAAGGTCTGCTGCTGTGAGATGGACACTCCCCAATCCCCTCATTGTGCAGCACTGTGCCTCATCCAGAGCGGCTTCTGGGCAAACAGGGATGATATGTCTCTACATTCTCCCAACAGTATGCAAGGTCCCATGATGTGTGGTGACAGAGCCATGGGGAGAGCATTAGACCTGGAGTCAGTGTCCTTCACTACAGTGATGTATATGAGGATGGTGCCATGAAGTTATTGAGAAGCTGGAAAATTCCTATCACCTGGTCATGTGACATTGTAGAACAACATTAATCCAGTGTGTGGTGGTGCTGGTTTCATCAGTCATGTGATTATGCAGTACATAACACTATGTGTTTGATTTTGGTTTTTGTGTTTATTTTATTTAAAAAATTATGTGTATGTGTGTGTGGGGGGGTGTTATACACATGAATGCAGGTGCCTGTGGGTGCCAGAAGATGGCGCCAGGTCCCCTGGAGCTAGAGTTACATGTGGTTGTGAAACTCCTGACATGGTGCTGGGAATTGAACTTGGGTCCGCTGCAAGATCAGCACGTGCTGTTGACTGAAAAAGCATTTCCCTAGCTCTGATCTTTGTTGTTGTTGAGAGAGAGTCTCCCTATGCAGCCCAGGCTGACCTCAAAGTCGTGATGCTCCTGCCTGTGCCTCATGTGTTCTGGGATTGCAGGTGTGAATCACCACACCTCGCCAATTATTTTTTAAATCACTATTTAGAACATACACCCTCGACTTACAAAAGAGAAGTTTACTGAGGTTGCTGATGTGACTGTCAGTGGAAGGTCTGCTTGCTTAGCATGCAGGAAGTTCTGGGTTCCACCTCAGGCACGGTAAATCACGGGGCATGGTGGCACATGTCTAAAATCCAGCGCTTGGGAGGTGGAGGCAGGAGGGTCAGAAGTTCAAGGTTATCTCCAGCTACATATTGAGTTTGAGGACAGCTGGTCTACATGAATCCCTGTCTCAAGAACAACAGAGGCTGTAAT